TTTTTTTTTTTTTTTTTGGTACTGGGGATTAAATTTGGGTCCTTGTTCTTGTGAAGCAGGCGGTGGAACCACTGAGCTAAATCTCCGGCTCCTAAAAATCTAATTTTGAAATGAACTTTTAACAAATACTTATATTCTTATATACTTTATATTCTCCCAAAGATAAAATTAATTTGAGTAGAACAAGTGCATGATTCAACAGATCCCTTTAAATCTTAATTATGAAAATCATTACATAAACATTAAAAACACTTGAAAAATGAAAGGCTGCTTCCACCACAAAACTGAGAAAACTTTTGTACATTTACAGGCTGTTCTTTTCTTCAGTAATAAAATCTTTCCAAATGTGCCACTAGTGTGTTTATCCTTTTTAAGTATATTTTAAAACCTGAACTACTCCTTGCATGCTACTTACAGAGTATCCATAGTACTGTTACTATTACCCTTACCACAACTGAAACAGTCCAACACAGTAGATACTGCCTACAAGAGGAAGCTGAAACTTCCAGATGCTGCAGGAAAATACTTTCTTGGCTGAAGATAAATATTAACATTTATATTTCAGATTTATAGCACCACTGCATTCATCATTAGGTTTCTGCCAAAACAAAAACAGCCTTTTTGGAGAATGGCAAGTGAAATGCTAAAGTATCTGGCAAAAGATCTATAAAACCATTTCTACTTAATTGATTTTTTTCACATGCACAAACATTTCAAAATGTACCTTCACATTAGCTTCTTTCAAACTGATGACCTTATCTAAATCAGGCTTGGCAGCATTAGCATTGCCAATGAGTAAGTAGAAGGTGGCTCGTAGTAATAATGCTTCTGCCATGTACTTTCCTTGAGCATCTATTTCTTTTGAGCATTCACTTATGATTTTATCATAGTTTTCTTCTTCCATGTACTGTTTGGCCTTCAAATATCCAGAACTGAAAATGAAAACAAACAGGAAACTACTAAGAAAAGAATCAAATGCTAAAACTTGTTACAGTTAGCATGCCTGAGTTAAGCAATAATCCATTTCCCCTTAACAAGTTAATCAGCTAGCCAGTGTGGATTTAAGAGTTGGAAGAAAGAAAGTAAAAAACAATTATGTTTCTGAAGCAGAATGGTATTCTCTTGATGATGCCTTAGAGAGAGTTTTAAAAGGAAACAGAATCCATGGCAGAAATGTGGGTTAACACCTTGGCTTAGACAAATGTGTGAAAAGGTAAGCTAATGAAAAAGACAGACAAATTTACAACATGGGTAAGGATCCTGTCTGTCTTACCTTCCGATCTTTGGTACATCAATCTCACTTAATAACTGTTAAGTGCTAACAGAGGAACAGAACAATAGGGAACAATCAAGTAAGCTTAGTGCAATATAAGCCAAAGCAAGAGGTATGATCAGAACTGTGCTTGGTAAAGATAACTGTTTTGTAGATAATGGACTGAGTAAGAGTGAGATTAGAGACAGGGAAATACAGAAGGCTCTCATTCAGATTCATTGATTCACCTATATGAACAGACCTACAATTAGTAAGTACCCTTATCAAAAAAGTAGATTTAAATCAAAATTCTTGTATTAGAGATCTTTAAGAAATATACCTCTTTATTTTTACAAATGCAATTAGCACAATATTATTTATTCTTTTAAAATAATGACTCACTGGAGATGCTCATAGAAGGGATGTAAAACTGAAAAAAAAAAAAACAGCTACATAACACTTGAGCCATATTCTAAAATACAGTTTTCAATTTATAATGGCTAGACTTCAGCATAAGATGGCACACTTCAGTAGAAACTGTACTTCCAATTTTGATCTTTCCCTGGGCTGGCAATATGTGATATGATACTCTTGTGTGACGCTGGGTAAGTCATGTTAGCCATAGAATTAGGAGGTGGACAACTGATAGTCTACAGTGTACTATATGCTGATAAATTTAGATGCTCAAGTGTAAGTATTTTGATGCATAGTTCAGAATAAATGTATTTATTTTACCTATATATTCTCAATGATGTATCAGGATGTAACTCAAGGAGCATTTGTATAAGACACTAAATTAAAGCACAGTTTTTCATTTTAGTTGTTATATTCTGTGCAGAGAAACTGGGAAGTAAGTGACTAAAGTTAAATCAATCAAAATCTTACAAGTCTGCACTAAGTGTCCTGTAATTGCATTCTAAAATCCTTATTTTGTTCTTCAGGTCACCGGGCTAAGAAAATAGAAACAATTATCAAGTCAGATTGGAAGTAAAAAGTTCCTACTAAGAATGTTATGTGGTAGGTATTAAAAACATCTCTAAGCTTCAAACACAAGAGGTCTAAAGAATGGCATTTTGGTAAGGAAGCAGCACCTTGAAGGAAATTTAAACTTTAAGTACTCCTAATTGTCTCATAATTGTTAAAATATTTCTTGCACTAAATCATTAAAATGTTAAGCTACATAATTAAATTGAAAGTTAGTGCCTTCATTCAAATACGGTCAACCAACTAACTTTAAATAGGTATCCTCTTGAGAATAATCACAACGCAGGACTGTGAAAGCAGCCTAGATTCTTAAACAGCTCAGGAGTAACAGACATATGCTAGAAAGAGGAGTATTTTTATTCTGTAATTATAACAATTATAGCACGACTATATAAATTTTATTTATATCTACTTGGAGATAAGATTTTTTCTTTTAGTTGACTCTGAACCCATCGTGGTTCCAGGGAAGGTTCATGGCAGCCACAAAAAACAAAAACAAACCAAAAAAGAACAAAACACACAAAAAAATTCAAGAGACACTCCACCTGGTATACTTACTTTTCTTTTACTTCTAAAGCTTCTCCTTCCTTGTCTTTATCTTCATCAGACTTCTCTCCTTTAAGCATAGGTTGAGAAATGATATCATCAGTGAAAGAAGTGAAGTAAGATTTGATAAACTGTGGAGATGGCATCAAAGGTTCACGATTCTGAAATTTAATATTTATCAAAATGAGAAAACAACAGTCTAAGAAGCAGGTACATTACTGAACATTAAGAATAATTTCTGTAGGGCTGGGGATTTAGCTCAGTAGTGCTGCCACCTGCCTCGTAAGCACAAGGACCCAAGTTCGATCCCCAGTGGTGGTGGGGGGATGGATTGCTGTAAAAAACTGGATTCTCATTTCCAAATAACTGAAGAATGTTAAGCTCTAAACCACAGGAGAAGAGACAATGGGAAAGGCCAGTCCCAGCTGTTCAAACAGCTCTTATGCAGATGCTAAAAATGTTATGTCCATTTGCCATGGGCTCACATCTGAAGATCAGCATTACAGGTAAGTGCCACTGAAAGTCACACCTTAATTATATTTCCTTTTTAACCTTCTCTTTTTGGCATTCATAATTACAGGAGGTTTTCTTCCTCCTTATAAAACAGAATTTTTGGGGGCATACTGGGGCTCAAACTTGGGTCCTTGTGCTTGTGAGGCAGGTGGTGGAACCACTGAGCCAAATCCCTGGCCCTAAAACAAAACAAAACAAAACAAAACAACAACAACAACAAAATTTAAATAAAGAGGGAGTAACATAGTCCAAAGAGCTCTTCTATTTTTGATTTTTTACTCTACAAAACTAGGTATCTACAGTACGTTTAAAATAAAAATTAAAATACCATGAAGTACTGGGGACTGAACCCAGGACCTTGGTACTAAGCTACATCCCCAGCTCTTTCAAAAATTTTTTTGGTACTGGGGATTGATCTCGGGTCCTTGCACTTGCAAGGCAGGTGGCAGCACCACTGAGCTAAATCCCCAGCCCCTTTCAAAATTTTTTATTCAAAACAGTTTTGGTAAGTTGCTCAGGTTGGGCGTGAATCTGCAATCCTTCTACCTTAGCCTTCCAGAGTGCTGGAATTTTACCATGCCTGGCTGAAAAGCAGCTTATTTAAAATGTTATGTATAACAAACGCCATTACTATTTGGTAGATGTAATGTCTTGTAGGTGTAGGATAAAAATGTTTTGAAATAAATGGTCTAATGTAGGCTGGACAGAGTAAAACAGAAGAAAACTTAAAAGACAAAATCTAAGGGAAAACCCATTGTTATTATTTGAATCTGTCCCCAAGTTTATATGTTGGAAACTAAATCTCCAATGCCAATATAGTGGCAGGTGGGGCTTAGGTCATGAGGGCTCTATTTTCATGAATGGATTAATATCATTACCCATGAATGGGTTAGTTATCAAATCAAGGCAGTGGATTTATTATAAAAATCGACTCTTGCTCTCCTGTTCTCTTGCCTTTCTGCTACGGGGTAGGACAGCACGAAGGCCTTCTCCAGAAGCTATTATCTTGATATTAGTATTTCTAGCCTCCAGAGCTGTAAGCAACAAATCTGTTTTCTTTATATCATTTATAATTTTAGGGGAAAAGCTTAAATGGAATTTTAAATAGCATTTACTTGAAGCTGGGTAAATCAAGAAAGTCTTTGTTTCCCATTTCAGCTTAGAAATGAAGCTACTATAAATTTATAGTTAAAATAATGTTTCAAGATATGGACTTTAGCAAATGAAAAGATCACATTCTAGTTCTACCACTTATTCACCATGAGGTATGATTAAAAAATATGGTAAATGGCCAGGCATGGTGGTACACGCCTGTAATCCCAGCACTTGGGAGGCTGAGGCTGGAGGATCACTGTGAGTTTGAGACCAGCCTGGGCTACATAGTGAGTTCCAGGTCAGTCTCAACTACATAGTGAGACCCTGTCTCAGAAAAGCAAAAAGAAAAAAAAAAAAGGTAAATGTTTAAATTAAAAAAAAAAAATTACTATGCAAAAAGATACATTGCCATTCATCCCCCCTCAAAATACACAGCCTACAGACTTTTTGAAAAAGAATATGCCACAAAAGCCCAAGACTACAAGAAAAAGAAACACAATTCCTTCCTAATTTTAGTTGTTACTATAACCATTTTTCCCAAGTTCAAGTAGCATACTCTATTTCACAATTCAGATTAATTTACCTTGTACTTTTCTTTGGCTTTCTCTTTTCCAAGAAGTTTAAGAACTTTATCAGCTAAAAGCATGCTTTGTTGATTTTGGAACCCTTCTAATATACACACAGCAGTGACATCTAGAAATGATAGAAAAATAAGTATGCAATCATTGCAGAGATGATCAGCAATATAAAATAGGTACAATGTAATACAGAAAGTCTAACTTCATAGCCTGATCAGGCTATTTTATTTTGAATAGAACTGATTATCAATATTTCAAGTTTCTCCCCTTCTCTGAGATTAATTTACTTCACCTATGAAATGAAAAGGTTGGTGCTATGTAATTTCTAACATTAACATTTTATAGATAGCAAATAAAACCAAGAATATAGGAATACTCTCTTCTGACCAGTAACTAAATTGCAAATCAACATAGGTTGCTTCTCTTATAAACCATTTTCATTTGGTTATGCCACAGCTATAGATATAGTGATTTCAAATTTTAAAAGATACACTTCCTTAACTTTTCAAACTTTCTTTCATGTAAAGTATTCAGTGATGATTCTTTCTCTTTTTGAACACAATTTCTCACAATTTCTTATCCTGCACCTTCAAACAAGTCAACCCAGTGCTATATTCCCGACAATGTTGGTTAATGCCAATTTCAGTGTCTTTTTCATCCCATTTCTCTCTAAAACTCTAATCAAGTTCCTTCCTCTTTGCCAGTTACTCTCTGTTAGTAACTTCAAGGTCTAGCCCAAACTCAGGATTCTCTTTTCTAATGCAAGATTACTTCTACCAACTACCTAATTATGTGACACCATAAAACTTCAAATTTGCTAAAATGTTCTCTAAAGAATCATTATCATTTGATAATCCAGGACTCTTTAAAAAGGGTCTTTAAAAATGTTTTTTAAAAATTTCTGGTAGTGCTGGAGATTGAACCCAGCGCCAGCTTTTTCCTTTTAAAAAGACGTATTTTGTGCTGTGGGTATAGCTCAATGATAGAGGTGTGCTTGCATTCACAAGTGCCTGGGTTTGATCTCCAGTACCAGAAAAAAAAAGTTATTTAAAAATGTAGGAAAGCATTGTTAGCTTATAGAAATAACACACTGATTTTAGCTTCACAACATCTAGAAAAATGTATTTTAAAAGTCAGTGGACTGCCTCGTAAGTGCAAGGTCCTGAGTTCGATCCCTGGTACCAAAAAAAAAAAAAAAAGCCAGCAGACTAAACTGTTTTGGAAATAGGCGCAGCCAATTAGAGGATACCAAACATTTACAGCATCTACTGAGAATGACAAATTCACTTACATGTTTTGTACCAACTGCATAATTTACAAGTTGGTATAAAATAAAGTCTGAAAATATTAAGGGCAAAAAAGCAATTTTTAAAAATTATTAATCTTAATATTATTTTGTTTCTTAAAATAGCTGTTAAGTGGAAACACTGTCACTTGCTAAAACTTGATTCCCTTATTTACTGAATTAATGCTCACTATATAATGTTCACTAATTGCCATTTTTAAATGTGTGGTATATAGCCGGGCACGGTGGCGCATGCCTATAATCCCAGCACTCGGAAGGCTGAGGCAGGAGGATTGCTGTAAGTTTGAGACCAGCATGGGCTAGAGAGTGAGTTCCAGGATAGTCTCAACTACATAGTAAGACCCTGTCTCAAAAAAAAAAAGTGTGGTATATCAATTCCAAATCTTTAGTTATCAGCAATTTCACTTTAAGCTAGAAAACAAAGTCTCAATTGGGGAATTCAACTTTTAAAGACAACTGATTTCTGTACTCACAAGGCAAAATTTTATATAAATTTACAATGACTATAAAGCCTTTAGGAATTTTCATATGCAAACACAAAAATACCCTCACCTTCTAAACATTCCTTCTTATTGTCTAGCTTCTCGTGGGCTTTTGCACGTCTAAAGAGAGCTTTCACATATTTGGGATTAAGTTCAACAGCCTTTGTACAATCTTGGGCCACCTCTTTCCATTTTTGCTGTAATTGAAAGTATTTTAAGAGTCACACTAATAAAAGTACTGTTCAAAAAGTTTTCCCAATTTAACAAGCCAAGTATTAAGAGTCACACAACAGAAAAAATATCCCAAATACAAAGAGTTAATATTTACAATATACATACTATAGAACCTTACCTAAATATCTTTCAAGAAGATAAGTAAACAGATTTTAAAAATAGGCAATGAACACACTTTGGCCATCTTTTTACCTCCAAACCTACCTGGAGTTTTGTGCTCATATCATTTCCTTCTTTGCTCCTGTTAAAACTGAGAAAGCATCCATTTTCATCAAAGGTCAACCCTCCACTGGTGATCTGAATTCCATGGCTTCTCTGTCCATGGACTTCACTTTTTCAGCTATCTCTTCTTTACAAGAATCTGGTTCTCTTCTGAGCTATTCCCACAAATGTAAAAACACTTGCTCTTCTATATTTCATCTTTTAAAACCCTTCTTTTCACTCTAACTCCCTATACTTCTCAACACCTTTTTATTGCCAATCCTCTAAATTTGCAACTTTATCTCATTTCCACTTTCTTACTGATAGCACCTTCTCAAATTCCTTTCCTGAATTCTCTTCCTTGACTCAACAGGATGAAATCCTCAAGGTCTCATCTTGTCTTTCGCTAGGTAATTTTATTGACTTTATACACACCAACTAAAATTACAGATGAATCTGAAATTTATCAGAAGCACAAGACCCCTCTACTAAAAGAGACATTTTTCAGTGTAACTGTCTACTTAGTCTCTGCCTTCTGGTGGTAAAATTTTTTTACCTCTTCATCTTTCACATTCAATGCAATAACAAGTTCTGCTAATTTTTAGTTTTTCTTCATGTCTTACCTAGGTTACTCCAACATCCTTATTTGTTTTCCCAGTCTCCACTCTTGCCTCTTTCCAATATATTCTCAACAAAACAGTATTAATTTTAGATGATGTTCTTGCCCTACTTAAAACTCTTCAGTATATCCATTATACTCAGAATCAAATCCAAACTCTGTTATTTCCTACAAGGCTTTTCAAGACCTAGTCCCTTTCTACTTTTCCAATTTTATCTTTCTTTTACACTTGCCAAATTCTTTCTTCCCTCAGAGCAATAACACATGCTATTTCTTCTATAATACCCTCTTCTCTGCAATTTTGTTCATTAGTCCACTAAATAAACATACAATGGCTCTACATCTAGTCTTTAAAATGTAAAACAGGTTGGCATAGGCTGATATGAAAAGCTGTACAAAATGCAGTGGCAACTAAAAAAATTACCAACAATATTTAAAAGGAAATCATCTTTCATTTCCCTCTACCCCATATGCAACTATTACTTACAACTACAGAAAGAAAAAAGTTGAAGAACAGCCTCAAAGGGTTGAAGAACTACTGGAAAACTTGAATTTTCTATACTATCTAATTTCATAAAAGCTGAAATATTCATAACTGGGGTATATTTGTAACCAGCAAACTGAATATTTAGCCTTGAAATTTTTTTAAAAAGAGAAAATGAAAACAAAAATCTTATTAATTTCAAAACAGTGTCAAAAATACATTAGATTTGAGTAGCATTAACTGAAACTTTAAGCAAATACAGAAAAACAAAGGAAAGGAGAAAACATCCCAGTGTACATACCAACTGTTCAAAGGCAGCAGCTCTATTCTGATAAAATGTAGAAAGGTCAACATTCTTCTCGGTAGGGCACAGACTGATAGCTTCTGTATAGCACTGAATAGCTTGTTCATACTTTCCTGCTTTAAAATACTTATTGCCTTTGTTCTTGGCTGCTTGGGCTCTATCAAGAGAGTTCTGAAACAAGAGAAACAATTACCAAACACTAATCAATATTTGACAATAGACTGAGACCACTATAATTAAATGGTAAATTGATAAACTATGTTTAATGGCTATAAGACGATGGTTCTTGGCCGAGAATAATTTTACCCATTTCAGAAATATCCAGTCCCAGTATATAAGAACGGGCTGTGAAACTGAAGAAAAAAGCAGGGAGATCCAGGACACTACAAAGTACAATGTACTGGAGACTTATGAACAGAAAGGTGTGTTGGGTGACAAGATCCCCATACCTCAAAAGAAGAAGAGATTTATAAACTTGGCTAGACAAAGTCTGGCTGCACACAAATGGAATGTACTTATCCTTTCCCAAACTTTTATTCTTTCCCTTTTTTTTTTGGTACTGGGGACCGAATTCAGGACCTTGCGCTTGTGAGGCAGGCAGCATCCTTTCCTTTTCTTAATTTTTATTTATTTTTCTTTTTGCAGTACTGGATTGAGCCCAGGTGCTCACACATGTTTTCTTAAGTGCTTTGCCAATGAGCTACATTCCTAGCCCATTTAAAAAAATATATAATTATCAGTACATATTAATGGTACAAAATAATGGTGTTTCACTGTGACCTTTACATGCATATAATGTGCTCTGATGGTATTCATTCTCCCTTACCTTCCACTAATAGCCTCCTTCTACTTTTATGTCTTTTTGTTTCTCCCTAAGATCCACATATGAGCAAAAACTATTAATATATTCAACATCAGTTGAAAAAAAGTCTGTTTGTACCTGGCACAACACACTTGGTACACCATCTGACTACTACTGTACTTTTGTCTTACAGGTTTATGATGTGTTCCAGGGTCATGTATCAGGCAAAACAGCAGATGTAACCAAGACAGCTATGGTTACACTAAACTGGATCCCTACATTCACAGGTGCTGTTTGATAACATCATCTGGAAATATTTTTCCTTCTTCTTTGGTGGTTCTGGAGAGTGAATCCAGGGCCTTAAGCATGCTAAGCAAGCACTCTACCAATAAGCTGCATCCTTATCCCTGGAAACAGTTTTGATTTGACACAACATGGGAGAAGAGAGATGCTATAAGCATCCAGGTAGGAAGAGATTAGGGATGGTCTCTATAATGCACAGTCCAGTTCACCACAACAAAAAATGATCAGATTCAAAATGTTAATACTGCCAAGACTGAAGGTATAAAAAACTCAATGTTATTTTAATTTGCATTTTCCTTACTATGAATGAATTTAAAAAATTTTTCATATTTAATGGCTAGTTGGCTTTCTTATCCTAAACACCACTAATTCATGTTTTGCAAGTTTTCTAGGCTATATGCCAGTAATGCAGAATAGACAGTATAAATGCTTCATTATTCATTGGTATCTTCATTAGGATTATATCAAATGAATCATTTTGCCTATCAACAGATTTCTTGTATATACTCCTATCTGTGTCGCAGGGTCTACTTTCTGGAAGGTCCAAAATACACACACACACACACACACACACACACACACACACACACACACACTTTATATGGACAACATTTAAGAGATGGCAATTAATACCTACTGAGGACAACTGTGAAAATTTCAATCAGTATTTGGGAAATATCTCTGTAGATAAAGCCAGTTAGCAATGTTCCAGCCACTAGCTCCCTGAACTTTGTGGTATATCCTCAAAGCTTGGTTACTGCTTGCCAATATCACTCAACTTTAACAAATATGGTAGTAAGCAAGACTCCACATACCTCCAATAGGTATATACTAATAAAATAAAAGCAGAAGCAGCTGCCCCTATAGAGAAACTAAATAATTTGTGAACGGCGAGTTGTTTTATGCTCAGGGTATCTCTTAGTTAAAAAAAGAAGATAAGACAACAAGTAAGATATTTTTCTTGTACCTACTCTTCCCTCCACTCCCTCGCTTTTGGTACTGGGATAGAACCTGGGACCTTGTACCTGCGAGGAAGACAATGGAACCACTGGACTAAATCCCCTGCTCCTCTTTTCTTCCTTTAATTCATTTTTCTTTCTTATTTTACCCCTTCCACTTACCTTTTGTCTCTCTCTCTCTCTCCCCCTCCCTCCCTCTCTCTCTTTTTTTTATTTTTGGAGACAGGGTCTCACTATGTAGTTCAGGCTGGTCTCAAACTCACAGCGATCCTCCTGCCTTAGCCTCCCAAGTGCTGGGATTAGAGGCATGTGCCACCATGCCCGGCTTGTTTCTCTTTTATAGTATCACTATAGCTATAGTTCTTTTTAAAATGTATAGTGTGTAAAGAAGGATCTGTAGGAAACAAAGTATCTAAATTCAGAGTATTACACAGACATTTTAAGCTATTATCAAGAAGAAATAGGTGTATTTTATCTTTTTTTTTTTGGTACCGGGACTGAACTCAGGACCTTGTGCTTGCGAGGCAGGCAGCAGAACCACTGAGCTAAATCCCTGGCCGAAATAGGTGTATTTTAAATCTAAAATGAGAGACGATGAAAGTGACCAATATAAAAATACAAACAAATGAACAGATGAACACAAAATCTTCTCTTTGTCAAAAGGCTTAATCTGTTGCTAAAAGCTTTGAGATACAAGTTAAATAGCAACTCTGAAACACACAAACATTCATAAGACAAGAGAGTTGAGAATTCTTTATGTAGGTGTAGGCTCTGTATGGAAAATCATCAAGATGACTGTTGAAAAACTTGCACTTGAGACAAACTCAACAATCCTCTTACTCCACTGAAAAGTACAAGTCAGACTGAGTAGGGCTCTTATCTAGAAGGATTAATTTCCTTTACCCAAGAGACAAGTGACAGGCATAAATGAAGAACACACAATCAAGAATTGCTAATACTAAAGGAAGATCAATACATGAAAGAGAGACCCAAGTCAATTAGAATAATAATATCTAGGAAAGTAGGATAAACCAATCAACAAAAACAACAGCAATAATGAGAAGTTGTGCAGCTGCTGGAGACTGAACTCAGGGAGTTGCCCATGACACTCATTGTGCCACTGGGCTATATTCCTAGTCACAGAAATCTTGACAACGAGAAAGGATTATTACAGTTAACTCAATGGATGGGGTATATATTACAACAGGAACGGCTGAGAAGCACAATAACCAGCAGAAGGTGGAATGGAGCCAAGGAAATGTGCTAGAAGGCAATAAAAGTAGGACAGTGAGGTGAGAAGTGTGGAGAAAAAGTTAAATGATATAAAGTAGGTATCTAAGTTCCAATATCTATCTGATGCTCTAGCATAGAAAGGAAGGTCTAAACAAGTAGTAGAAAAATTCCTAAACAAGTATGTTAAAATATTTTTAAATATAATGGTGAAATTGCATGACAAAAATCCAAACGTATTTAGGCAGAAAAAAGAAAAAAACAAGGCTGGATGTGGTGGTACACGCCTGTAATCCCAGCACTTGGGAGGCTGACGCAGGAGGATCGCTGTGAGTTCGAGACCAGCCTGGGCTACATAATGAGTTCCAGGTCAGTCTCAATTACACAGTGAGACCCTGTCTCAAAAAACCAAAACAACAACAACAACAAAACAAAACAATATCACAAAAAGCAGAAAGTAGGGTAAAGAAACAAACTAAGGAACAAACTTGAGGCCATACTTTCAAGTGAAATTAATGGGTCATACATGTGTAAATACCAAATAGTTTCTCTGGTGTGAAAAACAAAGTTTATAAGGATCAAAATGTATAACTGATATTGTATAATAGGAAGAAAAGGTCTAAAAGAGTAGAGGAAGTGGGAGGAGCAGGGGAAAGGTGAAAGGGGGTTCATGTGCCCTTTCGGGTGTCCCTTCCCAGTTAGGCCACTCACGCACCGAGAGGTCCCGCAGGAGATCTTTATTGCAGAGAGTCAGGCAGAGCACAAAGGCCGGGAGGCGGAGAGGAGAGGGAGAGAGAGGAGGAAGAAGCAGAAGGAGAGAAGAACAAAGAAAGGAAGGTTCTTTTATCAGTTTTGGGGTGGGCTACTGTTTATTTATGAGGCGTGAGCTACTTTTAACCTATCACAGGCCAGATTGCTTTTATGGGCCCAGTCCTGCAGACCCAGGTTTCAACTTTCCTGGACCACTGTGGCCTTGGGGGGGAGGGAAACCAGAGATAAGGGCATGAGGTCATTTTAGGAGCCAAGATGTACCAGGAGAATGCAGCCTGTGAGGTGGCATCACGGCATACTTTAACATGATCAATTCCCTAACAAAAGGTAAAAGGGAAAAGAAAAAAGTATGTGAAAAGGAAAAACATGGAAACAATCTCTTTGTAAAAAGGGCAGGGTGGAGAGGGTGGAGGGCTGGGGAATGGGGAAAAATAAGAATCAAGATAAATCATGTAAAGGTACAAGATCCTAATGATGAATGTATCGTATACCTAAAATGTACCAATAAACTTAATTAAGATTAAAACGAACTAAAATATGGCAGTAATCACTAGCCATGTCAATAGTAACAATAAAATAGGTTAGACACATTAAAACAGATTTTGATGGGCATAGTAGTGCATACCTATAATCCCAGCACTTAATTTGTTTCCAAAAAACAAAACAAAACAAAACAAAAAAACAACAAAAAAAGGGAAGAGCTAGGGATTTAGCTCAGTGCTTCTACTGCCTGCCTCTAAAGCACAAGGTCCCAAATTCAATCCCCAGTACCAGCACATACAAAAAACCCAACTCAAGGAGGAAAAAAAACATTTTCAAACTGCTTAAAATCCAAACTAAGTGCTGCCTAAAAAGCATGACTTAAGGAAAAAATGACATAAAATGATAAGGAAAAAGTTATAGAAGAAAAATACTGAAACAGTATCAGTCAAAACAGCATTCAAAAGCATCAGATAGCAAAGTTTTACTGATAAAATGTACAACCTGACATAGATATAATAATCACAAATCTTTGTCTAATAAAGCTTTAAAATAAACCAAACTATCTCTGATATTAAATAAAGATAAAAGAAAAACATTATTTTAGTTTTTTACAGTAAGTTTTC